TCTACAAAGGTATCAATACTTACTGTCTACAGAAACCACAGACCTGTACAGAGGTTTCAATACTTACTGTCTACAGAAACCACAGTCCTCGACAGAGGTATCAATACTTACTGTCTACAGAAACCACAGGCATCTACAGAGTTATCAATACTTACTGTCTACAGAAACCACAGTCCTCGACAGAGGTATCAATACTTACTGTCTACATAAACCACAGACCTCTACAGAGTTATCAATACTTACTGTCTATAGAAACCACAGGCCTCTACAGAGGTATAAATATTTACTGTCATCAGAAACCACAGGCATCTACAAAGGTATCAATACTTACTGTCTACAGAAACCACAGACCTCTACAGAGTTATCAATACTTACTGTCTACAGAAACAGCAGGCCTCTACAGAGTTTTCTCCTTCCTTCATTGAATCACATTTAAATGTTGACAGAACCTGCAAGGAAAACATTTATCTTCAAATACAGTAAAATCTCATTATATTATATATAATGTTTCGTCTGACAAATACAGTAAAATCTTACTATATTATATATAATGCCTCATCTGACATTTGACATCTTGCTTACCCCCCGCATATTACAAGGTCCCTTTTCTCTTTTTCTGAAGAAATCCTTTGTATAATTCCTTCAATTTGTCGCCAAATCCCGATATAACTCCAAATTTTTACTGGACAGTATAACAAGGTTTTGAAACTCTAAACTTTCACTGGACAAGGTTTTACTGTATTTCTCTGACCAGCTTCTAGAGGTACCACAAAAGTAAAATGCTTTCCAACAAGGAAAATGTCTTTGACATGGTTATGAGTCTAGTTTTGTTATTTATCCATTATTTATGTACCAACCTTTCCCGTACTGGTATTAACGACCTTGGCCATGATATCAGTTGACCCCGTCATTACCATCGAGTTGTCATGGTGACAATCCATACACACCACTGTTGAGGAGTGAGCAAAAGTCATATTTGAACCTTACCAAATCAAAGACTAGGCAAGTCCAGTTTAAATATGTAGGGGTAAATGAGAAAATTTGATCAAACCTCTGTCAAATCACCAACATCTAAACTTCAGTTTTATCAAACACTTATTCCTTTTTAAACAAAAATGCACCATGCCAACTACTTAATTTTTATAGACATTAATTTTTCATGACTGAGCATTAAACATCTTACTTGCAAGGTGACCTATGGAATATTCCATTTAAATATTTACCCTGCTCATGGACATCAAAATAAAATCACTTGCCTACTAGATCACAAGTTGAATAGGTGGTGACCATATCTCAAATGTGATGGGGTGGGTTATATATTCCCCTAAATTAGCCCTAAATTAATGTTTGGATGTTAACAGACTCATTCTCTGATTTAAAATAATTACCTTCAGATAATACAACATCATTAAACTCTATATTTGGAATTTGGTGTTAAAAAAAGGCCATTATTCAAAGCAGATTTTATTTTCTGTATTATTATTATTATACAATTATGTTACATTTTATATTACGAAGTGATGGATGAAGAATTTCTGAAAAGGAGGGAGCCCCAACTTTACACATCTGCATATTGCCTTGAGGTCTGAAGTGCAGGGGAGATAATCTCCTTTAAACTCATTTTTTACCCCTGAAGACACATTTGAACTCTTCCAATTCAAAGGTGGGAGTAGTTCATCGTAAACTTTCAGGGGTGAATGAGTTAATGGTAAAAAGCAAATTTCAGATCTGCTTATATCAAACTAGACTTATACAAAGTAAGGTACTATGTATAAGACCTACCAGATATGGTCTTCATCATGTCAGCTGTTTTAATGATCAAACTAGACCAATACAGAGTTAGGTAATATATATAAGACCTACCAGATATGGTCTTCATCATGTCAGCTGTTTTCATGTTCCAAACCTTGATGGCACCATCATCATACACGCTTCCCTGGAAAATACAAAGGAAAGTCTGTTGAAATCTTTGTTATAGACAAATTATTGAAAAAAGTTACCTGCCGTTATGATGATGCAAACCTGTACAAACACATATGACAGTAAGGTCACATTTAATTTTAAATTTTATTCTTGCAATTAGATTTTTTGAAATACGGAATTGGCTTTCACAAATTATCACAACATGAAATTCATGTTTTAGGGTAACTTTTTAGGATCCTAAGGGGAGAATTCATTGCACAAAATACATTTGAGAAAGCATTTAAGATATTTTCTAGCTCAAATTTTACCGTTATAAACTGTATAGGTGTAGGAATACACCAGATTTATGGTAACTAAATGTTTATTCTTACTAATAAAAAGAATAACCACAGACATATTTTTGTGACGTCGACCACAATAGGAGTTGGCAGAGTTACACATTCTTTCAGTGAATGAGACACAATTGTGTGACCATGACAACAGAAGATCACAGAGTAAGGAACCCTGGGAAAACAAGAATTCCACGGAAGTGGAAGTGTCACAAGCGCAGGAAGCTGGGAGATTACGAAGAAATAGATACACTTTTCATTTCAAGAAATAATGTTAAAAGTAAGCAATAATCATAGATTTTTGGATGGCATCATTTTGTTATATAATCTGTTATTCTTGGATGAATACTCTGAGTTTTAAGGAACTTGCTATCTATTTATAGTAACAGTGACCTTGACCTTTGACCTTCGGACCTGAAAGGCAATCCCAAGGAAGCACTGCATGAAGTTTGAGTTTGATCGGCCTAAGGAAACTCAAGTTATCGCACGAAAACAGATTTTCTATTTATAGTAACAGTGACTTGACCTTTGACCTTGGGACCTGAAAAGCAATCCCAATCAAGCACTTTTGGTAAGGAAGCACTGCATGAAGTTTGAGTTTGATCGGCCCAAGGCAACTCAAGTTATCGCATGAAAACCTCTCTGCGGACGCCAACGCCAACGCCGACACCGACATAGCAATACCTAGGTGTCACCAGTTTTTTGCAGGCGACATAAAAATCAATTGATTTTGGTGATAACACACAAAGATTAAAAAAAAAAAAAAAAAGTCTTGAATACCATCAGGTAGGATCCGTCCCACGCCTGCTGTAGAGCTGTGGCCCTGAAACGTCTTACAATCACCGTCAGGAATCTTCCACATCCACACATCGCCATCCACGGTGCCCGACAACAACACTGGTGACAGTGGGTGTCACTGTAATCAATGGTAAACAAAGAATGGCACTGACATCGTAACCAAGGTAACTAGGAAGTGAGGGTGTCACTTTAATTAGTCCAAGCATATTAGGTTGTCATGGTAATTTAAAGACAGTAAAAGTGACGAAGCCATGGTAACGTCTATAGTAACTAAAAGGATTCAATGCCACGGTAATACAAATGTCTATAACTACATGTAATTATACTATAATTACATGTAGTTATAGACATTTGTATTACACTGCAGTGTTATAGTAGTCAGAGAAAGCCATGATTTGTTTGATACATTTGTAAATGTTATTGTAACGTCCTGACGCCGTCAAAAGTCTCACACTTAAGAAAACCCAGTGAAGGAAGATCTCCCACACTGGACTCCAAAGAGGTTGGCAACCCTGTTATAGTCTGAAGTAATTTACATCCTTTGTTCCTCATATATATTACTTTATCTAACTGAAGAATAGGAAACATGTTGGTAAACAGAAGTTGAGAGTTAAGATATCCTCTATAAACATGTTGGTAGA